AAAAAAATTAATTAAAAGAAAAAATCACTTTTATACATAAAATACACATTTTTATCAATAACATAAAAAAGCGGCCAACTCGATGATTTAACAAATGGACAAGTTAAATTAATATTTCAACAATAAAATAAAAATCAAGGCTAACGGCCGATATCTGTTTGGAGAAAGAAATTTATTGAACTGAATTGTCTTGAAATATTGAAGTGAACATGTTGCTGAGCCAAAGCAACAGCAAAATTGAGTAAAATTGTATGGTAGATTGACATCTCTGCAAAATGCAAAAGTTGAAAAATATTAAAAAAAAACGCACACACACAGGGAGCTTAAAAAAAAAAAAGAGACCGGGTTTTTTTCTTGTTGTTGTTGTTGTTGTTGCTGTTGTACATATTTCAAAAGTATAAAACTTTTGGTTAAAACTTGCTTGTTTCATTAAAACGCTATTGCTAATGCTGCTGTTGTGGTGTGCAGCTTTTGCAAGTTAACTTGTTGCTGTAGTGAACTGACTAGCTGGCTGCCTGGCTAACTGACGGACTGTTTAGTTGGCTGGTTGCTTAAATCACTTACCAGTTAGTTTACTTAAAGTTGTTTAATATTATTTTTGTTTAACTTTTGTTTTTTTGTTTTGTATGTTTGTTAAGTTATCTGGTTTACCTTCTAACTGAAAGGAGAGTTTGTTGTTTCTTTTTTCTATTAGATATTAAACCATAATAAACATAGTGATAGAAAGACAGACAGATAGACATTAAGACAGACAATCTTATTAACGGAGCAATATTATGCGGTTTTTTCATTAAAATTGTTTTTAAGGTGACCGTATAGCAACTAAACCGGTATTGGTACTAAACAACTGCTGCTGCTGTACTTCAAGTACCAGTACAACTTGTTTATATTTTACTCAAACTATATATTGTTGTTATTGGAGTATTGCATTTTTTTGAAGGTGTTGTGTAAAAAAAACACACAACATCAGTAGCTGTGTGCAGCAAACAAGAGCAGCATACTGCAACATTTAATAACAAACAAACTATAAAAAAAAACCCTTTCGCCAAATTAGTTGTTGCATGTATCATATTTACATAAACATATCAAATTACCAGTAACAACACTGGTTGATATTTTAAAATGCAACCTGACTTGACTTTGCAAAAACGAACAAAAAAAAAAATCATGTTTTAATAATCTCCTCTTCTTTCAAATGTGTGTCATCTTTCATCATACACAAATATCTAGATCCAAACATAGAGACATAAATGTGCATGCATGTGAACTAATTAGTTTTTGTGAGTTTTTCTTTTTTTTTAATTTTGGTCTTTTTTTTCTGGAGAAGTTGAAGTTTTTGTAAAGTTTTTAAATTTTATTAAAATTTTGGGGTAATTTTATAAAAATTTGAACAGTGTATAAAAGAATAAATAAGTAAGTTGGTCTTGACCGACCATATATTACTATACACCACCGGATCCAGTGGGGAATTATTTTGAGAAATATGTTCCGATCGTTGCAGTATTTGTTTGAGTGCTGAATATCGTTTTGGATCTTGTTTATATCGAATTGTATCAATCGAATCATACTTAATTAATTTATTGATCTTAAACTGACATATTGTGGACTGAACGTCATGTAATTATTACTTTACTTTAATACTTTAGTGGTTTAGGGTATAATTATTTGGAACGCACAATAATATTGGTCCTATTCCCAGCTTAAAGTATACCAATCGTCTTAGAATCGTTTTCTGAGTCGATTCAGCTATTTCCGTCCGTCTATATAAACCTTGTTATCAAACTACAGGTCGCAATTTTGAAGATAATTCCTCTATTATCATTCAATAGGGATGAAAATGCTAAAGATCAGTCTATTATTTCACCTAGCCCCCATATAACCAAGCCCTCGAATAGGGCTTGAAAACCTTGTAATCAATTTTCTAGATAAATCAATGAACATAGTCTTCTAATATCCCAGAAAGGAAGCCTATTGAAAATGGTTAAAATCGGTCCATTATTTCACCTAACCGCCATACAACTAAAACTAACTAACCTAGTCCTCATACAAAGACCTCATTAGAAAATTAGTTAAATGTCCAGAATTCGCTTAAAAAGACTAATATCGTAATGAAATTCAGGACAAATACATTACAAATGTGTAAATGTAGATTCATCCACCAATTTTTTTTAGGATACGCCCATATTTTTCCCCAGCCCCGATAAAAAGACTCCTTCAGAATATTAGTTAGTACTGACTTGTCTATTGACTAGGTTATACTTAGACTAGAGTGTTGTCTATTAAAAAGTCTAGTCTATAAACTAGTAAATCGACTTGTCAGTTGACCAGTCCATAGACTAGTGAGGATAATGAAACAAAAAGCTTGGGTCCGATATTATAACCGATATAACATCCCTTAAGAGTATTGATTGCAAAATTTTAAGAAATAACATCTGAATCATCGGGCGTTGATTCACTCACAAGAAAATGCAACTGTAAAGAAGCCCACAACAGATCCAGTTGCGGTCTAAGAATATATCTTCATGATAGAATAGAATTCTATTAAAAAAATACCATTATGATACTATCAGAAGTTGTGATCAAGACGTGATCAAAATATATAATCCACCCAAAACCCCAGCATACTTTTAGGCATTTAAAATATTTAATTTTACTTTCCCAACTTTTAAAAATCAAATCTAGGTTAGGTTGATAGAGGATGTCATCAAATCCGAAGAAATACACCTAGGCCACTATCGGCCCTGTTGTGCGCTTCTTTTCATGAAAAAAATTTCGAATACAAATCTAAATTTTGAATATTTATTCACCAGGGCGTATAAGAACAGACACTACCAAATACAAACAATCTAATTTATTTCAATACTTCAAATAGCTAATATTTTTCGATTTTATTTCAAATGAAATTGCACAAATTAATTATTAAATTATTATTTTTTATTGTTAAATTACTTCTATAGCTTGGCATATCTTTCAAATACCGAAAAACACCGATATTGGCTTCATTATCAAGCGGCTATTAATCTTAATAACATAACAATTTACAAAATTTCTTAACAATTCCTTTGTTAATACGTTTGCTATTAGATTTTTGTTTGTTTTTTAATTAGTGTTGTATTAATTTTTTTTTTAATAATTTAATCATTAGGAAACTTTTACACCTTGATTTTAGTAAAAAAAAAACTTTATAATAAATAACCGGCAGCAACAAAAACCACCAAAACCTAATCAAATGTAACAGTTTTTTAGTATCTGTAATATGGGCCAGTATTACAACTTAAACTTAAATAAAGTTTATTGTTAAAATATGTAATGACTTTTTACATGTTTTTACACAAATGTGTAGACAAGTAATAATACATTAAAACCTCTTTTTTTTAAAGGCAACATTAATTACATTTTAAAGTGGTAACAATTTCCTAGTTTGTCAATCGTTATAAAAGTTAACCCATTGGGAAGTAGATATGTGAGCACTGATCAACATTCCCGATCTTTCTAAATAACTAGAATGCTGTAATGCAAATAAATACATAACTAGAATGGTGAATTTTTGAAAGATAGGGCTCGTGATTTGGCGACAGCTGATCATAAAAGTTGATTGTAGCAAAATATCACACATCTGACATGTGTCAAATCATATACTGAACAAGATCGCCTTTTCATGAATGACAGTGTCAGAGAACTTTGGTTTTAGCGGTATTATTGGACTACTTGATTTCTGATTTTTCTATAGTACATTCGACGTTCATTTTCAATTCGTCAAAGGACGATCCGTACATTCCATTTTCGTTAGCAATTTAATTTCCGCGAATGCCATCGTGCCATAGGACCCAAATCAGTTCGACATGCAATTGTGAATACAATTCGAATTTATCAGGATGGAGCCAAGAACGTTGAGAGATTTGAAAAATTTAATTCTGCATCAAAGGCGCAATTTTCATCCTGGAATTAATTTCAGAGTAGACATTAGTCAATCTTATAAAGATCATGCTGAATAGAGCAAATTTCCGAACCAGTATCCGTTATAGTTCACACTACTGCAAATTTCCTGAGTTGTTCAAAAACTTCCTGGAATCGATCGTTTCTATCGAACTTTATACTATTTATAACAAATTGTTTACAACAAAAATTCTACCACAAAATATTTCCTTAAATAATTCACGATCATTATGGGTTTAACATTTTAACATTTCAACGCCATGACTCATATACATACAAACAAAAAAAAAAACCTCAACAACAAAGACAAAACAAGTCAAAGAGCAACTAACATTTCACAGACTGCAATGTAACAATACAACGCCAAAGTTGCTGCCGCAAAAACAATACGAAACCAAATGTGGGCGCGCGCGCGCCTAAGCATTTCAAACAATTGTTAAGAAATTAAATGAACATACAGAAATACATACATACATATTTGAAAGAAATAACGACAATATAATGAAATAGAATTAACGCTATAAAAGAAATAAAAATAATTATAAAAGACATAAAGCTCAAAAACAAAAGAGTACGTAAGATCGATCGTATTATTGTTTGAAATATTTAATCGAAAGATATATACATATATCTTGCTGCCATATTAAATTGTATATATTTGTTAAGAAAAATGTTGTTATTGAAGTAGTCTACCTTTAAGAGCAAATTACCATTTAAAAGCGGTTTTTATTTAAAACAGTCATAACTTTGCAATGCGGAGGAGTTTAGTTGCTATTTCTTAAGTGCATATTTCAAGTAGTTTCTTCTAATCTAATATGACTGGCAAAATAAACAATTAAATATTTGTAAATGCAACAATTCTTGAAGTTTAATTCTCACGTACTTTGTAAAATTAAAATGGCGCAAAAAATTTTACAACCTTAAAATAAGACTTAATTGCGAACCTTGGCATGAAGTCATCATTTATCAAAAACAACATTTTTTTAATTATATTATAACATCATCATTTTACATCAAATTTAATTGCCACTTCTAATAATTCCCTCTTTATCTTTTATTTGCAGATTCCTCTGTTGCCTTGTGGCAAGTCTAACTTTAGCCGAAAACTCAATTGATTCTACTGTGATACCCACCGAAGTTCGTGTTGAATCTTCAGTATCGTTTGAAACATCTCACAAGCGTCCCGAAGCCTTGGGCGATGATGCTTTCCAAACATCACACAAAATTAATCACTATGATGTGGAGAACATGAATCTCTTGCCCACCAAAGAGAAACCCGAACTTAATCCCATTCTAAGTGCTCTCATCAATGAGGATGTTATGAAGAGTATAGAAGCCAAACGTGCCATTGAAGAGGCTGAATTGGAAATCATTAAAGCTGAGGTAGATGCTGCCGTCAAAGCAGAAGAAAAGAAAATTGAAGAAGCTAAAGAAGCTGCCGCCGAAGCCAAAGAAAATGAAGAAGGAGATGATGCCACAGAAGGAACAGTTAATGTTCTAACAACAGCAGCTCCCATGAAGAAGGCTGAATTGGAAAAGGACGATGATATGAATGTAGGTTTTGTCGATCAAGCTATTGCTTTGGAAACCGCCGGTACCGAGAACAATAAGAAGTCACGTATTGAAATTAAAAAGGGTCCCAATGGCCAGGATTATGAATACGAATATGTCTACTATTATGAAGATGAAGAAGAAGATGCCAAACCCAAAGGAGCTGCTGCTGAAGATGGTGAAGAAGCCGAAACTAGAGGCAAGTCACGTTACACCAACATTGAACGCAGTACTGCTGCTACACCAGCCGATAACAGTTTAGTCAGTGGCAAAGCCAAGGGCCGTTCCTCCAATGTTGAAGAAGATATTGAAGCCGAACGTTTACCCCAAAATACTCGTTTCCCCAGCCGTGGTAAGACTGTAGATGTTCCTCCTACTCCCGCCTTAGATTCTGTCGATTCTGCTGCCGAGAAAAAGAAAATCAGTGTCAAGCGTCCCAGTTTGGAATTGGTAGATAGTGAAACTTTCAACACTGACGAAAAACAAGCCAAGAGCTCCCGCAATTCTGATGATACCAAGTCTGCCATTACCATTGAACAAGAAGCTGCTGCTGCCGCTAAAGATGCCGAAGAAGCCGAGGCTGCTAAGGCTCAAGAAAAGGAAGAAGATGCTGCCATGGATCCTGATGAGGATGTAGAACAAACTACACCTGCTATGGAAAAGGCTGCTTTGGATTTGTATGCTCTCTTGACCAATGAAAACAACAACATGGACATGACCACTGATTCAGATATGGATTTCACTACCATTGTACCCGATACCACCGATATGTATGGCGATGATCTTTTGACCACCATTGTCGATGAAGAACCCAGCAGTACTACCACCACTACCACTACTACAACCACTCCAGAACCAACCACTACTACTACCACCACTACAACTACCACCACCACAACACCAGCTCCTTCCTTGTTTGGTGGCAGACGTGGTGCCAGCAGCTCAAATGGTCGCAACCGCTTCAAGCTTAAGTCTAGTAACAGTCCCTCAACCACCACTACCGAAGCACCTTCAGAAGCTCCCAAAACTGGCAAGAGTAAGTTAATATGCTAAACATAATTTTACAGCTTTATTAACATGATATTTACTCTCATTTAGACCGTTTCTCTCGTCCTTCCATTGGTGGCCGTAACCGTCCTGGTGCCAGAACTACTGCTGCCCCCGCTGCCGCAGCCGAAGAACCTCAACAAGAGGAAGAAGTTGCCGTTAAGGAAGTTAAACCCGTTAGTTCAGGCTTTTCACGCAACAGACGTAAGTAAAACATATTAAAATTGAGTTCTAAAAAAGATATTAAAGACTTTACAAATTTATTGCTTTAGCACGCAACCGTTTCAATCTCCGTGGCAGTACCACCACTACTGAAGCTCCAGCCCAAGACTCTAACGATAACCAAGAAGAAGCCGTTTCAAGCACTACCGCTCGTTCTCTTAGAGGAGGACGTCCAACACTTGGCCGTCGTGGCAGTCGCACTACTACCACCAAAGCTCCAGCTAACGAAGAAGAAGTAAATGATAGTGATAACAGCGTAGATGACAAACCCTCCACACCAGCTCCCAGCCACAGTGGTCCCGTCAGACCTTCCCGTTTCAATCTAAACCGTGCTGGTGCCGGTCGTTTGCCAGGCCGTGCCAAACTCGGTCGTGCCACTACAGAAGCACCAGCTGCCGCCGAGTCTGAAGACTCAGCTGCCGATAGCTCACATCACAATGATGTTAAGGGAGAAGGTGAAGAAGCGGCTGAAAAACCAGCTGAAGAACCAGCATCCGCCAATGTTGGTGGCTTGAACCGCTTGAAGAATCGTCCACGTTTAGGTGGTATACATAAGACTGATAACAAACCAAAAGTAGCTCCTGCGCCAGTAGCCCCACGCAAAGTTAATCCTCTGCTTGCCAACAGACGTCTCAAAGTAGGATCTTCAACAACAGGTAAGAGCATTTAATACATCGCTTCCACAGCTTCAGTTATTAACAATATGTTTTCCGCAGAAGCTGCTCCCGTTGAAGAAGCTCCATCCGCTTCCGGAGAAGAATCCGATTCCAAGGAAGAAGCTTCTGCCACAGCTCAGGATGAAGCTAAGGATGAGACAACAGAAGAAACAGAAACCACCACCAAACAAGCACGTGGTTTAGGACTTTTAGGTCAAAGAAGGCGATTGCCCTTAAGAAAACCAGGAACATTATTGTAAAAAATTTAATTCTTTACACTCCTCCTTTGCCCTTTTCTGCCTCCTACTTGAGTACTCAAAAGCAATTTAATGCTCATAAATGTATCTTTAATACTCATAAAAGATAAACAAATAACTCTCTTCTATTTAGTAATAAATACTTTATATGCCCTCTTTTATCCTTGTATTTGTATGTAAATTAATTATTTTTATGTTTTTCGTTTTTTTATTATTATTTTGTTTATACTTTTCTTGAATATTTTGATTTTTTGAATTTTATGTTATTCCGGTAGTCTGTAGTTTCTTTTGCAACCAACCACAAGTGAATGAAAGTGGTTTCAATGTAAGAACAAGAAAAAAAACACTTAGGTAAACCCAAAAAACACAAAAAACTTATATGTATGTATGAAATTAGATTTTCTTCTATGTATTTTCTCTTTTTTTATTTTTAAATATAAATGTTTTGATTTAAAATATAATTAAACAAAAATTTACTTGTAAGTTTCTTAAATTAGGTACGAAATACAAACAAACGAAATCCTTATGTAAAAATTTTGCGATATAAATGTAATATTCTTTTTTTGTTATAAAAGATACTTTTGATAATTAAACAATAAAAATATGTATAAAAATTTATAAAATAAAATATAATGATTTAATTTAATTGATTTACACTTAGTGGGAAAAAGGTTAATTGAAAGGGTGGTTACTTGTGACAAAGGTTTATAAATTATTTATAAAGCCTTTAGGTAATTCAAGTGTCAATAATTGCCAAAAGCTGAGGTGGCAGTGATGGATTATCAAGTTATTCAATGATTGCTTTTTAATTGATGCAACAGTGGTTAAAATGTTTGTAATTTTTGGAAATAAAAATATGATAAATCCTTCCGAATATGAATACCAATAATCGAAGATTGAGCTGCAATTACCTTTCTTTGGGACTACTAGATTTTAGTCTGCAATGACGGTTCAAAAATGTTATAGACGGTATTGCATCTCTTACCTCGAATGTACTATAAATTGCATTTACTCCCAGTTGAACTCATTTTGATTTCAGGACACATTAAAATTCTTGATTTTCTCTAAACGATTTGACAGCTTCTCTTGTATTGTTTGTATCCAGATGTTCTTTTTTTAATACCTTGGGTATCCCATTCAAGTGCTTAGTGAGCTAGTTACGAAGAAAGTTTTCTCTAAATTCCACGAATAGTAATTTGTCTTGTTCTGCGTAAAAGTAGTTCGAATTGGTCTACCAAATTCGTAAAATGACACTTGTCATGTTTCACAGCCCTATAGAAGTACGGGTTTGACGCAGTACTGATGTAAATATTCCTTGCATTCCATATTCGGTTGTAGCAAAAGCTATACGTGCTTTGCGAAATCTCTTCAATATGCCATCTAACCTGACCCCTCAGTAAAGGGCCAAAGTATTCGAATTTGTAAACTTCCTCAATGGAGTTGCCGTAAAAAACAAGGGGCTTCAGTCTCATCATCATTGTCTTGGCAATATTAATGCCTAGACCAGCCTTGATCGCCATATTAGCTATGTATATCGATTCATCGGCATGTCGCACTTCTGGAATATCTCTGGATAGTCGTTCTTTTCATATGGAGTTTCATCTAAATGTATTAAACGCCTTTTCAAAATCTGTGAATGTCAAGTTTAGGGAGGAGTTTAATTCGACTTAATCCATGCACGATCTGTGAGCATGAAAACCAGCCTGTGTTCTACTAAGCTAATCTTCCAATGTTCGAGTAATTCTTCAGAGAACTATATTATTAAAACCTTTCATAACTATCGGTATTAGCGAAATACGATCCTATGTATGTCTTCATATGCCCTCCAGTAGTCTATTGAAAGTCTCTGCATCAGCTTAAAAACTTTTTGGCGGAATACTGTCACATCCGCCAGTTTTTCTATCCTTCAGGGTATTAATCTCCTTATAATCTCCTCTTCAAGAGGGGAGTTTAGTAAGCACAGCATCATCAGGACTTCCATGGGAGAATAAGGAATAATGTTCATAGATTTCTTGAAGGATCTTTTCCAAATATCAATCCCAGAATAATCTTATTTCCATAGCTGAGGTATCGAATAGGGTTGACTATTTGACTACAGAAACTTCGACACTGTTCGTAGTTCGTATTGACTACGCACGTAAGTGTTATTGCAAATGCTGTTTATTTAGAAGAAGTAAAATAATCGGTACAACATCTTTTATGTAACTATCCCGATCTACAAGATAGCAGACTGATATATCTAAGAACAAGCCAGAGCATTTAAAACTCAAAAAAATATTGAACCACCACGTTTAATAAGTAAATACAATATTATTAAATATCTTTCGGAAACCACAGTGCAAATACTTCTTTTCTCTTGACCTATAAATTGAACTGAATTACAAAAAAATTGGCTTAATATCATTCAACAATGGCATACAATACCTTGGAAAAATCGCGCGTAATTATTAAGATTTTGGCCACCATTGGTATTTTGACAAACAAGAAGCTGCACCTAAAGCTATCGAAAGTTCCACCAATTTATTACAAATTGATGATACACGTACCGCTGACATTTACATACACCACCCTCATGTGGTTGGAAGTTATATTTAGTTCGGATATATATGAAGCAACTGATGTCCTTTACATGGTCTTAACGGAAACGGCACTAGTGGTGAAGATACTTAGCATATGGTATCATGATGCATTGATTAAATCCCTTTTTAATGAATGGCAACAAAATGAAATGTTCAAGTTGTATACAACACAAGAATTTTACATGTGGCAGCGTACGATTAAATTATTTGGTATTGTGGCATTCCTTTATATAACATGCAGCCTGAGTGTTGTATGTTTTTCTTTCACAGCTGTACTATTTCTCAACAGCTACGAATTGCCATTTCTCTACTGGACACCATTTAATTGGAAACATCCGTCAAACTATTGGTATGCTTACTTTTATGAATTGTTTGCCATGCCGTTGACATGTCTATCCAATTGTACCTCGGACATGCTTCTGTGTTGTATGATGCAGCATTTGGCTTTGTACTTTAAGTTGATAGCAATGCGTTTGGAGAATTTGGGCAACAAGAAAGGCGAAATAAATTCAGTTGTAACCAAAAAGCTGTTGACAATAATTAAATTTCACCTTAAATTGAAAAGGTAATACAGACACTTTGATTCTAAAGGAAACTTTTAATTGCCTTATATTTACAGCATGTCCAAATATTGTGAACGAATTGTATCATATCCGATTTTGGCTCAAATTTTATTAAGCGCCTTTGTATTGTGTTTTAGTCTCTATCGTTTGACAAACTTTAATTTCATAGAAGATCCAGTTACATTTTTCTCATTGATCCAGTATGCTATGGTTATGAATCTACAAATATTTTTACCCTGCTATTATGCCAACAAATTGACCATAGAATCGTCTCGTCTTACAAATAGTATTTACAATTGCAACTGGCCCGAGATGTCGCCGTTTAATCGTAAATTAATTTTAATGTATATGCAATCTCTGCAGAAACCTGTAGTCATAAAAGCTGGTAACTTTTTTGAAGTCGGCTTACCAATTTATGCAAAGGTTATAGCAATTCATTACACTTGGTTATTGTATATTTTATATTATTTGTTTTTTTCTTTAATTATTTTCAGACCATGAATAATGCTTACAGTTTTTTTGCTTTATTACTCAATATGGATGTTGAGTAAGTGATGTTTGGATGGAGTTGGTTGAAGATTATTTACAGACAGAACTTTTTTTAACACTTTTAAAAGCACTCACATACATATTATGTTTGAATGTTTACAGTTTATTGCACAGAGACACTGTTATTAACATGATGTTATAAAAAAAAAGCTTTAATTGTAAGGTTTTTAACTTTGCTAAATTTACTGTTACAGCACCACGATCACTAATAAAGTATGATGTTAATTAAAATGTTATGTCAGGATTATTATTTAAAAAATATTGGAATATTTACTGCAAAAGTTTTGGAAAATCTAATTGAGATAATAGTACAAAAGGATTAATATATAAAAAGCCATAATTGTCTGTAGACCCTTAAATAACGTCCTAGATGAGAAAATAGTGAATATCTGTGATCACTCATATTTTCGTTTAAAAATATCAAAAATCTAAAATCGGCTGCAGATCGTTTAACAACATTCCAATTGAGAATATAGTGAAAATCTGTTATCACTCATATTTTCCATCAAAAACCGATTTTTATATGAAAAACTTAAAACCGGCTGTAGATGCTCAAATTACGCTCCAATTAAGAAAATAGTGAAAATCTGTGATCACTCCGTTTGAGGAAAACATAAAATCGGCTGCTGATCGTTAAATAACGCTCCAATTGCAAAAATAGTGAAAACTGTGAATCAATTTTTTTTCCCGTCAAAAACGGATTTTTATATGAGATCCTTATAGAATGATCATATTTTCCATCAAAATCAGATTTATGTATGAAAAACATAAAATCCTTAAATAACGCTCTAATTAAGAAAATAGTGAAAATCTCATATTTCAATTTTCTTTTCGTATAAAAAACACCGGATACTAACAGCTTGTATAAAATAGAAGAATTTGATTTGATATATAGTGACTAAATTGATGTATTAGTTATTTATGAAACTATCTTTAGTGTAAATATTTACTAAATGGATAAATACCTATGGATAATAAGCAAATTATAAAATAATTTAGTTTTATATTAAGCAACAGTGGTAATAATATTGGTATTTGTCTATTAAAAAAATAAACTCAGTAGAATTTATATGAATACAACATACAATTACAAGTAATTGTAATTGAAAATTTCAATTAGTTAGTTAGTTAGTTTGAAAGGAGAATGTATATACATCAAATCCGAAGAAATACACCTAGGCCTCTATCGGGCCTGTTGTGCGCTCCTTAACCAGTGTCTCAGGTAGGACACGAACCCACCACCTACAGTCTACCAGACTAGAACACTAACCACTAACCTACCGGAGGCCAATTTCAAAATTTCAATTACAAATGCAAGTAATTGTAATTGGCAAAACTGCAATTACAATTACAAGTAATTGTAATTAGTTATTTTTCAATTACACATTACAAGTAATTGTAATTGGAAAAATTTCAATTACAATTACAAGTAATTGTAATTGGTTATTGTTCAATTACACATTACAAGTAATTGTAATTGACCTTGTTATTAATTACTTTGTGTAATCATTACCCCCCATGCCTGCTTGAAAGCTACCATTACTTTTGTAAAACTATTTATCCATAATTTGTAAAGATCTGCCGATACCACTGTGCATATAACATTGCTCTTTTCTGTTATAAAGTAACTTGAAATGCAAAAAATTATCAATAACACAGTTTATCTTTATCAATCGACAATGTCCTACGATACCTTGAAAAACACTCGTATTATTTATAATATTTTGGCAACCATTGGGATTTTAACAAACGATAAGTTGCAGAAAAGGCTACCAAAAATTCCTGGAATTTGTTTTAATTTAATGATACATATACCGGCGACATTTACATTAACCACCATAATGTGGTTAAAAATTATATTTAGTTCGGATATAAATGAGGCAAATGATATCCTTTACGTGGCTTTAACGGAAACAGGACTTCTGGTGAAGATACTTAACATATGGTATTACGATGCTTTGATTAAATTCCTGTTTAATGAATGGCACCAAAACGAAATGTTCGAATTGTATACAACACAAGAGCGTGTTTTATGGCAGCGTACGACTAGATTCTTTAGTATTATGGCATTCCTCTATATAACATGTAGCCTGAGTGTTGTATACTTTTCTTGCTTAGCTTTACTGTTTTTCGACAGCTACGAATTGCCATTTTCGATTTGGACACCATTTGATTGGAAACTTCCGTCGAACTATTGGTATGCTTACTTTTATGAATTGTTTGCTGCGCCGTTATCATGTCTATCCAATTGTACAACAGACATGCTTCTCTGTTATATGATGCAGCATTTGGCTTTGTACTTTAAATTTATAGGAATACGTTTGGAGAATTTGGCTACTGACGAGAAGCAAACAAATGATGTTATTACCAAAAAGTTGTTGACAATAATTAAATTACATCTGAAGTTGAAAAGGTAAAACGATCACTCTGCTTTTAAGTGAAACATATTTTAAGTTAAATTATATTTACAGCATGTCTAGATCATGTGGACGGATAGTATCCTATTCATTTTTAGCTCAAATTTTACTAAGCGGCTTTGTATTGTGTTTTAGTCTCTATCGTTTGACAAACTTTAATTCCAAAGAAGATCCTGTAAGATTTTTGTCATTGATTCAGTATATTGTTGTTATGGATCTACAAATATTTTTGCCCTGCTATTATGCCGATAAATTGACCACAGAATCGTGTGATCTTGCAAATAGTATTTACAATTGCAACTGGCCAGATATGTCGCCATTTAATCGTAAACTAATTTTAATATACATGCAACATCTGCAGCAACCTGTAGTCATAAAAGCTAGTATCTTTTTTGATGTCGGCCTACCGATTTATGCAAAGGTTATTATACATATTTAATTGTTTTGTGTCTAATAAATGTGTATTTGTTTTCTTTTATTATTTTTGTAGACTATGAATAATGCTTACAGTTTTTTTGCTTTATTACTCAATATGGATGTTGAGTAAGTGCAGTTTGAACTGGAGTTGTAAAAAAGCTTTAATCTTTTACTTTACTAAATTTCCTGTTAATGCACCACGATCACTTATAAAGTATGCTGTTAATGAAAAATGTTATGGTATGATTATTATTTTAAAAAATTGGAATTTTTAAATACCTACTTTCTAACCTAAAATCGACAGTAGATCCTTTAATAACGCTACAATTGATAAAATAGTTAAAACTGTAAACACTGATATTTTCCTTCAAAAATCTAATTTTACATGAAAAAACCTAAAATCTGCTGTAGATCCTTAAATAACGCTTCAATTAAGAAAATAGCTAATATCTGTGATCACTCATATTTTTTTTATAAATCAACAACGCTGGATACAAACAACTAGTATAAAGAAAATTATGTAATTGGTAGGAAGTATTATTAATAAAACCTCCTTTAGTGTGAATATTTACTAAAAGCTTAAATGTCAAAGGATAATAAGCAAATTATTAAATAATTAATTTGTATGTTAAACAGTAACAGTGGTAATAATCTATATTGTATGTACAAATAGCTGGTAGTTGAAATTTTAACAGTATAAAATGCTATAAATCCCGCAGGTTCGTAAAACTTTTGTTCAGAGATGATCTGTTCTGTTCTGTAGTTCTTTATAAATGCAATAAAATTTCCGAATGGGATTTTTAAAATATAACAAGTAATTATAGCTTTATTGAATGAACTTTTAAACCACTGTGCAAATAATACCATACACTTGTCCTACAAAGTAAATTGAACTGCAAAATTTACTTTAATAACACAGTTTATCATTATCTTTCAACAATGGGCTACTATATGTTGAAGAACTCGCGTATTGTTAATATTATGGAAACCATTGGAATTTTGAGAAACAAGAAGTTACAGCGTAAACTGACAAAATTTTCAGCGATTTATTTTAACTTGATATTACACGTACCGCTGACATTTGCAATAAACATCCTCATGTTGTTCTCTACAAGTGCTTAAGGGAAACTGGACTTGTGGTGAAGATTCTTAAGATATGGTATCATAATGCATTAAATTAATAATCCCTGTTTAATGAATGGCAACAAAATGAAATGTTCAAGTTGTATACAACACAAGAGCGTGTTTTATGGCAGCGTGTGACAGCAGCGTCATTCCTTTATATGCTATCTCTGCTATTTCTTAAGACATACGAATTGCGATTTCCGATTTGGACACCATTTGATTGGAAACATCCTTCAAAGTATTGGTATGCTTACATTTATGAATTGTGTGCTACGCCGTTGTCATGTCTATCTAATGTTACATCGGACATGCTTCACTGTTATAGAATGCAACATTTGGCTTTGTACTTTAAGTTTATAGCAATGCGTTTGGAGAATTTGGGCACTGATAAGGATCAAACAGATGCTGCTATCACCAAAAAATTGTTGGCAATAATTGAATTACATCTCAAGTTGCTAAGAAAAACATGGTTTAAATTAAATTATATTTACAGCATGTCCAGAACATGTGAACGGATTGTATCCTATCCATTTCTGACTCAAATTTTATTAAGCGGTTTTGTATTGTGTTTTAGTTTCTATCGTTTGACAAACTTTAATTTTATACTATGGTTATGAAATTATAGATATTTTTGCCCTACTATTATGCCGATAAATTGACCACAGAATTCTCTCATCTTACAAACAGTACTTACAATTGCAATTGGCCAGAGATGTCACCATTTAATCGTAAATTAATTTTAATATACATGCAATATTTGCAGCAGCCTGTAATCATAAAAGCTGGTATCTTTTTCGAAGTCGGCTTACCAGTCTATGCAAAGGTTATAGCTATTCATCATATTTAATAATATACTTTATTTATATTCGTTTTTTATTATTACTTTTAGACCATGAACAATGCTTATAGTTTTTTTGCTTTATTACTCAATACGGGTGATGAGTAAGCAAGTGATATTTGGAATGGAGTAGGCTAAAGATTATTTACAGACAGCAATTTGTTTAACCGTTTTAAAAGCACTCACAAGTATTTGTATAATCATAAGTAGTTTTTTACACACAAACACTGTTATTAACATGAAGTAGTAATAAAAGCATAAAAGCTTTAATTGTAAGGTTTTTGACTTCACTAAGTTTACTGTTACAGTACCACGATCACTAATAAAATTTCATGTTATTGAAAAATGTTATAATATGATTATTTTTTTTTTAAATGTTAGTTTTAATGTAAACTTCAAAAGTTTGTGAAATTTTTAAAAGTTAAGCTAACAAAAAGACTTTTTACCTTCTACGAGATCTAGTTTTATAGCTTAAAGATCATTATCACGAGAACTGGCTCTCCGATGTTTGTAATTAAGAATATAACTCAATAAAATTACTCTAACGATGTTCCATTACACCGAAATTAAAACATACTTAACAAATTGAAAATCTGCTTAATTTCATCTAACCTTCAATTTGTATGAATCTCTTAATAAAGTTATTATACAATTACCAAATTTTTAAATCCTTCCTATAAGCAAAATTCTAAACATTTATTCTCTCAAGTCAATTTGTTGGGGGGTTTTTCCCAAAAATCCACAGAATACTCTTTACAACTAGCGTGAGAAAAACAACTCAACTAACACCTCCTAAAAAAGAAACACTCTTAACAAAATAATAATAAAAACTAATTAATGTATGTAAATATTGTATTGTTGACAGCAAAACTATATTTTCCACTTTTGTATTAAGGGGAAAATCCAAAAAATAAAATAAAACCAATAACCACTTTGACTCTAAAAGGAAATTCCAAAATTATTCATTGCTAACTGAAATTAATTTTGCAAATTTTCCAATTTCATCAGGAGATTAAAAGTCGACAAAAATAATTGCTCAAAAATTCCATACAAATTTCAATTGGATGTCAATGAGCATTTCATTAATATCAAAATAAGATTTTCCAAATTTGTTAGAATTTCCACCTTGAGTTAATTCGCCCAAATATGATAGGCATTTGCACACACACGCACACCTTTTTTTAAGCACAGCCTATATGTTGCATGCAGCATGCTGTGCCGTCGAGTGGGTGTCAGTGACATGCAAAATTAAGGGAAAATAGAGAAAAGAAAATAATGTTTTTCAAGTGGCTGCAAATGATCATGATCTTATGCATGCAACATACACGTACAAGTACCTATTACTTTTAGTTGTTTTAGGATTTCTTCTAGGATACCGCAACAACAACAAATGTGTGTATATGAATTTTATGCTGTTCGCCTTGTTTTAATCTGTTTCTAGGTATAACACATTTTAAACACCAGTCAGCCAGCAGTAATAGAGAAAAAAGGACATTCCAACAACAATTAAAACAATTGTATTGTTAGCATTGTTTTATTGCCTGTTAGTATGAATTGTTGTTGTTGCTGGGCCAGAGCAATACAAATCCAACTTAAGGGAATAAATAGTTGAGAGTAAAATAAAGAACCACTTGAGAAAACAATAGATACGGGGCGACATCATAATAAAATGGTTGTTTATATGGCCATTGAAAATGTGCAGCAGCTTACAATAGATATGTCTTACACTGTGAGAAAAGATTTGTTTAAAAGATTTTTTTAAAAATGCCTGCTTTGTTTCTCAGAACTAAATTTTGAGACATCGAATATATGTATGTAAACCTACGTGGACAGTCTTGTAACCTCTAAAGTGATAAATTTAGAATGCTTTACTAGTTGCTCTTGTCACTACTTTGTCAACACTTTGCAGAATTGATTTGGGCTCCAGAACACGAGGCCATTCGAGGAAATGAATGTGAAGTTTACTTATCGTCGTTAGACGAAACTGTTTCGAAAAGGGGTTTCATATTCACCTGGTTCAGTTGTCTATTACGACCGCCGACAAAAAATCGGAAAACTAGTGTTCCACTAGAACGTCTTGTATATCTATTGCACTCAGCACGATTGGACGCATGTTAGATCACATAAAAGTTCTTTAGACGAAGAAGAATTGGCACAAGTTTAGTTAGTGAGTGAGTTAGTTAGTTAGTTAGTTAGTTAGTTAGTTAGTTAGTTAGTTAGTTAGTTAGTTAGTTAGTTAGTTAGTTAGTTAGTTAGTTAGTTAGTTAGTAGTTAGTTAGTTAGTTAGTTAGTTAGTTAGTTAGTTAGTTAGTAGTTAGTTAGTTAGTTAGTTAGTTAGTTAGTTAGTTAGTTAGTAGTTAGTTAGTTAGTTAGTAGTTAGTTAGTTAGTTAGTAGTTAGTTAGTTAGTTAGTTAGTTAGTTAGTTAGTTAGTTAGTTAGTTAGTTAGTTAGTTAGTTAGTTAGTAGTTAGTTAGTTAGTTAGTTAGTTAGTTAGTTAGTTAGTTAGTTAGTTAGTTAGTTAGTTAGTTAGTTAGTTAGTTAGTTAGTTAGTTAGTTAGTTAGTTAGTTAGTAGTTAGTTAGTTAGTTAGTTAGTTAGTTAGTTAGTTAGTTAGTTAGTTAGTTAGTTAGTTAGTTAGTTAGTTAGTTAGTTAGTTAGTTAGTTAGTAGTTAGTTAGTTAGTTAGTTAGTTAGTTAGTTAGTTAGTTAGTTAGTTAGTTAGTTAGTTAGTTAGTTAGTTAGTTAGTTAGTTAGTTAGTTAGTTAGTTAGTTAGTTAGTTAGTTAGTTAGTTAGTTAGTTAGTTAGTTAGTTAGTTAGTTAGTTAGTTAGTTAGTTAGTTAGTTAGTTAGTTAGTTAGTTAGTTAGTTAGTTAGTTAGTTAGTTAGTTAGTTAGTTAGTTAGTTAGTTAGTTAGTTAGTTAGTTAGTTAGTTAGTTAGTTAGTTAGTTAGTTAGTTAGTTAGTTAGTTAGTTAGTTAGTTAGTTAGTTAGTTAGTTAGTTAGTTAGTTAGTTAGTTAGTTAGTTAGTTAGTTAGTTAGTTAGTTAGTTAGTTAGTTAGTTAGTTAGTTAGTAGTTAGTTAGTTAGTTAGTTAGTTAGTTAGTTAGTTAGTTAGTTAGTTAGTTAGTTAGTTAGTTAGTTAGTTAGTTAGTTAGTTAGTTAGTTAGTTAGTTAGTTAGTTAGTTAGTTAGTTAGTTAGTTAGTTAGTTAGTTAGTTAGTTAGTTAGTTAGTTAGTTAGTTAGTTAGTTAGTTAGTTAGTTAGTAGTTAGTTAGTAGTTAGTTAGTTAGTTAGTTAGTTAGTTAGTTAGTTAGTTAGTTAGTAGTTAGTTAGTTAGTACACAAAATAGGAGGAAATACACATAAGTCTTTATTGTGTCTAGGTCTCCATGTGAGCTCATTTCCCAATGCCTCTGGTGAGAATCGAACTCACGACCTCCGGCCTGACAGGCTACATCTCTAACTACTAACCTACTAACAATGCTAAAAATTATACTCTTGATCATATCTTTCTCTCACTGTAAACATGCGTGTACATGCAACTGCAACAATTGAAAACAATGTATTTCTTAAAGCTTGGCCTACAAAAAAAGAAGATTTTACTTAATAACCACTTGAAAATTTTATGACGGTACCAATTTTTCGAAGGCGTAAAAATCTCTATGACGTCGAACAATAAACAACACTTGAAATCACTGCGGGGAGAAAAGTAATTGATGAAGAATATAACACCGATCTATTATTCTTCTCTGCCCAAACTAAACGCTAAATAAAACAACAACAAATAAGAATAAACACAATAGTAGAGGTGCGAAGTTTCTTTGAAAACGTATATGCAGTTATATGGCTGATTCTCAAGGACCTCTTTCGTTTCGTTTGGTCGTAGAAGAATGAATTGCTGCTTACCTGCACAATGGCACAAAGAACAATAGCAGTAACAATAATATGAACAACAACAATAAAACAGGAGGAGAAGAAGAAGAAAAATATTGACGACCTATAAGTGTCATAAAATGTTAAAGATAAACTCTCAAGATCGATTATATACAATAGTCAGCCAACAACAATAATAAATACACAGCAAATAGCAAAGTAGGTAGAGATAAATGCATGGGATACAATACTAAACACTTGCTCTATCAAAAAAAGAACAACAAGATAAAATACAAAGAATAAGAAAACAAAAACAAGCAAAAGAAAAGGTTTCGCGAGTTGGCTGCGCTAACTCTAAGAACTATACACAAGCTGGGATATTTTCAAATATTAAACAATGAAGCCACTCGAAACTCAAAAAGGGAAAATAACACACACTCTTACACTCTAACACATACGATTGGGCGAACGGATGGACAGACACATAAGATACGAGTAAACTAAATAAAATACCAGGCGCTTTTAAAGATTTAAATGAAAGTAAACAATGAAAGAATTTCAAGTATCATAAAATTCATGCTAGACTTAGAAGCGCCACGGTTAGACTAACAGACAGACAGACTCTGGGTACTTGAGAATTCTTTAAGAAAAACAACAACAGCAAGAAAGGAAAAACTCATAAAAATATGTATGTATGTATTTTGTTGTTTGTGTATTTTAAATCTCTTCTTCGCTGCAGTTGGCAACCTGTTAAATGTAATAATACGATGTTTTTTTGAGGTTGAATTTCAAGTGGTTGTAATAAAACTTCAATGAGAGATTAACATGTAGGATGTACAAATAAACATTTTTACTGCATCTTCTGTGGAATGCGGTATGTTGTATGTAGGTTGACAGAAAGAGAACAACAACAACTATAGAAATGACCTTTACAATTTTTATTTTAATTTCCTGGAATTAAAGGTGACAAAATCACGTTATTTATTAAGAAATTTATTGTATGGATTATTATTATCGATCTGAAAGGTTTACATAAATAATATGAGAAATATATTTTTTTCATTTGAACTATATTTTGTTTTCATTGGAAAGAATCTCTTCTCTTAAATGGTGCAGAAGAACATATTTTATATTAAAATTATTGATTGTCACTAAGACAATATATTAAGAATTTTTAGACAGTGATCATCCATGATATTATTTAGGATTTCATATCTTCTTTCACTCTTTGAGATTTTAAG